TTTACCTCTGTAGTATCTGTACTTTTCCTCTGTAGTAGCTGTACTTTCCGTCTGTAGTGTCTGTACTTTACCTGTAAAAGATCTGTACTTTCCCTCTGTAGTATCTGTACTTTACCTGTAAAATATAAGTACTTTACGTCTGTAATAGCTGTACTTTCCCTCTTTAGTATCTGTTCTTGTCGTCTGTAGTAGCTCTACTTTCCTTCTGTAGTATCTGTACTTTATCTGTAAAATATAAATACTTTGCCTCTGTTATATCTGTACTTTACCTCTGTACTATCTGTACTTGTCCCCTGTAGTAGCTGTACTTTCCCTCTGTAGTATCTGTACTTTACGTCTGTAGTAGCTGTACTTTCCCTCTGTAGTATCTGTACTTTACCTGTAAATATAAATACTTTATCTCTGTTATATCTGTACTTTTCATCTGTAGTATCCTGTATTTACCAGACTTTCCTCTGTAGTAAGCTGTCTTCCCTCTTGTATCTGTATATCTGTATTTCCTCTGTATATCTGTATTTTTTCTGTAGAGCTGTACTTTCAGTCTGTAGTATCTGTACTTTCCCTCTGTAGTATCTTACTTACCTGTAAAATATAAAGTACTTTGCCTCTGTTAATATGCGACTTTTGTCTGTAGTAGCTGTACATTCCCTCTTTAGTATCTGTACTTGTCCTCTGTAGTATCTGTACTTTCCCTCTGTAGTTCTTACTTTCCTGTAAAATATAAGTACTTTATGTCTGTAGTAGCTTACTTTCCTCTTTAGTATTACTTGTCCTCTGTAGTAGCCGTACTTTCTCTCTGTTGTATCTGTACTTTCCCTCTGTAGTATCTGTACTTTCCCACTGTAGTATCTGTATTTTACCTGTAAAATATCAATACTTTTCCTCTGTTATATATGTACTTTACGTCTGTAGTATCTGTGCTTTTACCTGTAAAATATCTGTACTTTGCCTCTTTTATATCAGTACTTTATCTCTGTGGTATCTGTACTTTCGTCTGTAGTAGCTGTATGTCAGGGAATTTACCCTAAGACATCAAATTACATTAAATAAAGACACACCAAAATGAGACGGCTTAGTATTTACTTGCGCAAGGAGAGAGCTGTCCGAACACTGTTGACCCTCTTCTGCAGCTACTTCCCAACAGCAGGTTTTATTGCAGTCATTTCACAGATAACAATACAGTACATTATGTTATATCACACAATGGTTACAATGATCACATGCTAACAATCTTTAGGCTAAACCACCCTCCCATTTCACCTTACCTCTGTAGTATCTGTACTTTTCCTCTGTTATATCTGTACTTGTCCTCTGTAGTAGCTGTACATTCCCTCTGTAGTATCTGTGCTTTACCTATAAAATATAAGTACTTTGCCTTTTGATGATGTCATGAAGGGTTCTATCGGCATGGACAACGGCTGCTAGGAGACAGGAGAGAGATTCCAACAGTTGTTTATATTTAAAATATCTCACTCATTTGATCAGATCTTTGGCATTTTTGCCCTGACAAAATTAAAATTGGCACTGTTCACACCTGTACCATTTGGATAACACCTGTACTTTACCTCTGTAGTATCTGTACTTTTCCTCTGTTATATCTGTACTTGTCCTCTGTAGTAGCTGTACATTCCCTCTGTAGTATCTGTGCTTTACCTATAAAATATAAGTACTTTGCCTTTTGATGATGTCATGAAGGGTTCTATCGGCATGGACAACGGCTGCTAGGAGACAGGAGAGAGATTCCAACAGTTGTTTATATTTAAAATATCTCACTCATTTGATCAGATCTTTGGCATTTTTTGCCCTGACAAAATTAAAATTGGCACTGTTCACACCTGTACCATTTGGATAACACCTGTACTTTACCTCTGTAGTATCTGTACTTAACCCCTGCAGTAAATGTACTTTCCCACTGTAGTATCTGTACTTTCCCTCTGTAGTATCTGTAATTTACCTGTAAAATATCAATACTTTACCTCTGTTATATCTGTACTTTTCCTCTGTAGTATCTGTACTTTACCTGTAAAATATAAGTACTTTACGTCTGTAGTAGCTGTACTTTCCCTCTGTAGTAGCTGTACTTTTCCCTCTGTAGTATCTGTACTTTACCTGTAAAATATCAGTACTTTGCCTCTGTTATACCTGCACTTTACCTCTGTAGTATCTGTACTTTTCCTCTGTAGTATATGTACTTTTCCTCTGTAGTATCTGTATTTTACCTGTAAAACATCTGTATTTTACTCTGTAGTTTCTGTACTTTCCCTCTGTAGTATCTGTACTTTACCTGTAAAATATAAGTACTTTACGTCTGTAGTAGCTGTACTTTCCCTCTGTAGTATCTGTACTTTACCTGTAAAATATAAGTACTTTACGTCTGTAGTAGCTGTACTTTCAGTCTGTAGTATCTGTACTTTCCCTCTGTAGGATCTGTACGTTATCTGTAAAGTATTAGTACCTTGCCTCTGTTATATCTGTACTTTACCTCTGTAGTAGCTGTACATTCCCTCTGTAGTATCTGTGCTTTACCTATAAAATAGAAGTACTTTGCCTTTTGATGATGTCATGAAGGGTTCTATCGGCATGGACAACGGCTGCTAGGAGACAGGAGAGAGATTCCAACAGTTGTTTATATTTAAAATATCTCACTCATTTGATCAGATCTTTGGCATTTTTTGCCCTGACAAAATGAAAATTGGCACTGTTCACACCTGTACCATTTGGATAACACCTGTACTTTACCTCTGTAGTATCTGTACTTAACCCCTGCAGTAAATGTACTTTCCCACTGTAGTATCTGTACTTTCCCTCTGTAGTATCTGTAATTTACCTGTAAAATATCAGTACTTTACCTCTGTTATATCTGTACTTTTCCTCTGTAGTATCTGTACTTTACCTGTAAAATATAAGTACTTTACGTCTGTAGTAGCTGTACTTTCCCTCTGTAGTATCTGTACTTTTCCTCTGTAGTAGCTGTTCTTTCCCTCTGTAGTATCTGTACTTTACCTGTAAAATATCAGTACTTTGCCTCTGTTATACCTGCACTTTACCTCTGTAGTATCTGTACTTTTCCTCTGTAGTAGCTGTACTTTCCGTCTGTAGTATCTGTATTTTACCTGTAAAACATCTGTATTTTACCTCTGTAGTTTCTGTACTTTCCCTCTGTAGTATCTGTACTTTACCTCTGTACTATCTGTACTTTACCTCTGTAGTAGCTGTACATTCCCTCTGTAGTATCTGTGCTTTACCTATAAAATATAAGTACTTTGCCTTTTGATGATGTCATGAAGGGTTCTATCGGCATGGACAACGGCTGCTAGGAGACAGGAGAGAGATTCCAACAGTTGTTTATATTTAAAATATCTCACTCATTTGATCAGATCTTTGGCATTTTTTGCCCTGACAAAATGAAAATTGGCACTGTTCACACCTGTACCATTTGGATAACACCTGTACTTTACCTCTGTAGTATCTGTACTTTACCCCTGCAGTAAATGTACTTTCCCACTGTAGTATCTGTACTTTCCCTCTGTAGTATCTGTAATTTACCTGTAAAATATCAATACTTTACCTCTGTTATATCTGTACTTTTCCTCTGTAGTATCTGTACTTTACCTGTAAAATATCAATACTTTACCTCTGTTATATCTGTACTTTTCATCTGTAGTATCTGTACTTTACCTCTGTAGTATCTGTACTTTACCTGTAAAATATAAGTACTTTGCCTCTTTTATATCTGTACTTTACCGCTGTAGTATCTGTACTTTCCCTCTGTAGTATCTGTACATTATCTGTAAAATATAAGTACCTTGCCTCTGTTATATCTGTACTTTACCTCTGTAGTATCTGTATTTTTCCTCTGTAGTAGCTGTACTTTCAGTCTGTAGTATCTGTACTTTCCCTCTGTAGTATCTGTACGTTATCTGTAAAATATAAGTACTTTGCCTCTGTTATATCTGTACTTGTCCTCTGTAGTAGCTGTACATTCCCTCTGTAGTATCTGTGCTTTACCTATAAAATATAAGTACTTTGCCTTTTGATGATGTCATGAAGGGTTCTATCGGCATGGACAACGGCTGCTAGGAGACAGGAGAGAGATTCCAACAGTTGTTTATATTTAAAATATCTCACTCATTTGATCAGATCTTTGGCATTTTTTGCCCTGACAAAATGAAAATTGGCACTGTTCACACCTGTACCATTTGGATAACACCTGTACTTTACCTCTGTAGTATCTGTACTTAACCCCTGCAGTAAATGTACTTTCCCACTGTAGTAGCTGTACTTTCCCTCTGTAGTATCTGTACTTTTCCTCTGTAGTAGCTGTACTTTCCCTCTGTAGTAGCTGTACTTTACCTGTAAAATATCAGTACTTTGCCTCTGTTATACCTGCACTTTCCCTCTGTAGTATCTGTACTTTTCCTCTGTAGTAGCTGTACTTTACCTGTAAAATATAAGTACTTTGCCTCTTTTATATCTGTACTTTACCGCTGTAGTATCTGTACTTTTCTTCTGTAGTAGCTCTAGTTTCAGTCTGTAGTATCTGTACTTTCCCTCTGTAGTATCTGTACTTTACCTGTAAAACATCTGTATTTTACCTCTGTAATATCTGTACTTTCCCTCTGTAGTATCTGTACTTTACCTGTAAAATATGAGTACTTTTTGTCTGTAGTAGCTGTACATTCCCTCTTTAGTATCTGTACTTGTCCTCTGTAGTATCTGTACTTTCCCTCTGTAGTATCTGTACTTTCCCTGTAAAATATAAGTACTTTATGTCTGTAGTAGCTCTACTTTCCCTCTTTAGTACCTGTACTTGTCCTCTGTAGTAGCCGTACTTTCTCTCTGTTGTATCTGTACTTTCCCTCTGTAGTATCTGTACTTTCCCACTGTAGTATCTGTATTTTACCTGTAAAATATCAATACTTTTCCTCTGTTATATATGTACTTTACGTCTGTAGTATCTGTACTTTCCCTCTGTAGTATCTGTGCTTTTACCTGTAAAATATCTGTACTTTGCCTCTTTTATATCAGTACTTTATCTCTGTGGTATCTGTACTTTCGTCTGTAGTAGCTGTATGTCAGGGAATTTACCCTAAGACATCAAATTACATTAAATAAAGACACACCAAAATGAGACGGCTTAGTATTTACTTGCGCAAGGAGAGAGCTGTCCGAACACTGTCTGACCCTCTTCTGCCAGCTACTTCCCAACAGCAGGTTTTATTGCAGTCATTTCACAGATAACAATACAGTACATTATGTTATATCACACAATGGTTACAATGATCACATGCTAACAATCTTTAGGCTAAACCACCCTCCCATTTCACACTTGATTACAGGCTCCAGGTGATAAACAATTTGGTCAGTTTTCTCCCAGAACTTATGCTAACCACATGAGGGGAAAAACCCTTAGCTGTCTTCTCATGGGTGACTCAGTAGATTAGCTTAATGAGTTAGGAGTTCTTGTACTAGAACATATGATATACATATGGAAAAACCCAAAAACGCAATTGTTGATAACTTTAAACCACACACACAAATGATTATGATTTTAAATGATTCCTAATATTTAAAATAACAGACTACAGACTTTCCAATACTACAGACTTTCCGTCTGTAGTATCTGTACTTTACCTGTAAAACATCTGTATTTTACCTCTGTAGTATCTGTACTTTCCCTCTGTAGTATCTGTACTTTACCTGTAAAATATCAGTACATTGCCTCTGTTATATCTGTACCTTACCTCTGTAGTATCTGTACTTTTCCTCTGTTATATCTGTACTTGTCCTCTGTAGTAGCTGTACATTCCCTCTGTAGTATCTGTGCTTTACCTATAAAATAGAAGTACTTTGCCTTTTGATGATGTCATGAAGGGTTCTATCGGCATGGACAACGGCTGCTAGGAGACAGGAGAGAGATTCCAACAGTTGTTTATATTTAAAATATCTCACTCATTTGATCAGATCTTTGGCATTTTTTGCCCTGACAAAATGAAAATTGGCACTGTTCACACCTGTACCATTTGGATAACACCTGTACTTTACCTCTGTAGTATCTGTACTTTACCCCTGCAGTAAATGTACTTTCCCACTGTAGTATCTGTACTTTCCCTCTGTAGTATCTGTAATTTACCTGTAAAATATCAATACTTTACCTCTGTTATATCTGTACTTTTCCTCTGTAGTATCTGTACTTTACCTGTAAAATATAAGTACTTTACGTCTGTAGTAGCTGTACTTTCCCTCTGTAGTATCTGTACTTTTCCTCTGTAGTATCTGTACTTTTCCTCTGTAGTAGCTGTACTTTCCCTCTGTAGTATCTGTACTTTACCTGTAAAATATCAGTACTTTGCCTCTGTTATACCTGCACTTTACCTCTGTAGTATCTGTACTTTTCCTCCTTAGTAGCTGTACTTTCCGTCTGTAGTATCTGTATTTTACCTGTAAAACATCTGTATTTTACCTCTGTAGTTTCTGTACTTTCCCTCTGTAGTATCTGTACTTTACCTGTAAAATATAAGTACTTTACGTCTGTAGTAGCTGTACTTTCCCTCTGTAGTATCTGTACTTTACCTGTAAAATATAAGTACTTTACGTCTGTAGTAGCTGTACTTTCAGTCTGTAGTATCTGTACTTTCCCTCTGTAGGATCTGTACGTTATCTGTAAAGTATAAGTACCTTGCCTCTGTTATATCTGTACTTTACCTCTGTAGTAGCTGTACATTCCCTCTGTAGTATCTGTGCTTTACCTATAAAATATAAGTACTTTGCCTTTTGATGATGTCATGAAGGGTTCTATCGGCATGGACAACGGCTGCTAGGAGACAGGAGAGAGATTCCAACAGTTGTTTATATTTAAAATATCTCACTCATTTGATCAGATCTTTGGCATTTTTTGCCCTGACAAAATGAAAATTGGCACTGTTCACACCTGTACCATTTGGATAACACCTGTACTTTACCTCTGTAGTATCTGTACTTAACCCCTGCAGTAAATGTACTTTCCCACTGTAGTATCTGTACTTTCCCTCTGTAGTATCTGTAATTTACCTGTAAAATATCAATACTTTACCTCTGTTATATCTGTACTTTTCCTCTGTAGTATCTGTACTTTACCTGTAAAATATAAGTACTTTACGTCTGTAGTAGCTGTACTTTCCCTCTGTAGTATCTGTACTTTTCCTCTGTAGTAGCTGTTCTTTCCCTCTGTAGTATCTGTACTTTACCTGTAAAATATCAGTACTTTGCCTCTGTTATACCTGCACTTTACCTCTGTAGTATCTGTACTTTTCCTCTGTAGTAGCTGTACTTTCCGTCTGTAGTATCTGTACTTTACCTGTAAAACATCTGTATTTTACCTCTGTAGTATCTGTACTTTCCCTCTGTAGTATCTGTACTTTACCTGTAAAATATAAGTACTTTGCCTCTGTTATATCTGTACTTTACCTCTGTACTATCTGTACTTGTCCTCTGTAGTAGCTGTACATTCCCTCTGTAGTATCTGTGCTTTACCTATAAAATATAAGTACTTTGCCTTTTGATGATGTCATGAAGGGTTCTATCGGCATGGACAACGGCTGCTAGGAGACAGGAGAGAGATTCCAACAGTTGTTTATATTTAAAATATCTCACTCATTTGATCAGATCTTTGGCATTTTTTGCCCTGACAAAATGAAAATTGGCACTGTTCACACCTGTACCATTTGGATAACACCTGTACTTTACCTCTGTAGTATCTGTACTTAACCCCTGCAGTAAATGTACTTTCCCACTGTAGTAGCTGTACTTTCCCTCTGTAGTATCTGTAATTTACCTGTAAAATATAAGTACTTTGCCTCTGTTATATCTGTACTTTACCTCTGTACTATCTGTACTTTTCCTCTGTAGTAGCTGTACTTTACGTCTGTAGTAGCTGTACTTTCCCTCTGTAGTATCTGTACTTTACCTGTAAAATATAAGTACTTTGCCTCTGTTATATCTGTACTTTACCTCTGTAGCATCTGTACTTGTCCTCTGTAGTATCTGTACTTTTCCTCTGTAGTATCTGTACTTTCCCTGTAAAATATAAGTACTTTGCCTCTGTTATATTTACTTTACCTCTGTAGTATCTGTACTTTTCCTCTGTAGTAGCTGTACTTTCAGTCTGTAGTATCTGTACTTTCCCTCTGTAGTATCTGTACGTTATCTGTAAAATAAAAGTACCTTGCCTCTTTTATATCTGTACTTGTCCTCTGTAGTAGCTGTACATTCCCTCTGTAGTATCTGTACTTTACCCCTGCAGTAAATGTACTTTCCCACTGTAGTATCTGTACTTTCCCTCTGTAGTATCTGTAATTTACCTGTATAATATCAATACTTTACCTCTGTTATATCTGTACTTTTATTCTGTAGTATCTGTACTTTACCTCTGTAGTATCTGTACTTTACCTCTGTAGTATCTATACTTTACTTGTAAAATACAAGTACTTTGCCTCTGTTATATCTGTACTTTACCTCTGTAGCATCTGTACTTGTCCTCTGTAGTAACTGTGCTTTCCCCCTGTAGTATCTGTACTTTACCTGTAAAATATCAGTACTTTGCCTCTGTTATATCTGTAATTTACCTCTGTAATTTGCCCCGGCTCTGCTTCACTCTTCCATGTAAATGTAATCAAGCTGCTGACAAAGCCTTTCTGTTGGCAGTGCAGCCCTCTCACATTAGAGGGAAAATAAAGAAATAAATATATGGCAAAGAGATCTAAAAATAGAACCGTTAATTACCTTTCCAGGACTCACTCTGGGAAGTAGTGCTCACAATTGTGCTGGATTTTTAAAGTCAGTTTGGGTGAAAATGTGTATTACAAAATAGTATGTTAAATTTTTGAAGACTGATAAGAGTCAAAAAGAAGCTCAAGTTACTACTACAACTTACCTCCCATCACTCTACAATATCTGTGGTGTTCAGTCACTACACTTACTGTCTCCATTTTGAGGACATCACGAAACAGTGTTGTCTTAGATAGATTGTAAAATCACTGCACAAGTGTGCAGCCTTACACATTCACAAGAAGACTGTGCTTTTTGATGATGTCATGAAGGGTTCTATCGGCATGGACAACGGCTGCTAGGAGACAGGAGAGAGATTCCAACAGTTGTTTATATTTAAAATATCTCACTCATTTGATCAGATCTTTGGCATTTTTCACCCTATCAAAATGAAAATCGGCACTGTTCACACCTGTACCATTTGGATAACACTCTCCAAATTTGAGATCAGTCGGATGAGCGGATCGAGAGTTATGCGTGGAACAGACAAACAAACAGAGAGAGAAGAGAGAGATAGATTTAGTATAGTTATATGCTAGTAAGTCTGGCTAAAACGTAGGACAGAGGCAGGAAGTAGTGGAAAAAAATACAATTCTTTATTTAGTTCTCAATATTAAAAATAGTAAATTTTACACATTTTTTTTTTAAAAAGGTACACATTCAACACCACAGTTTGGAGCTAAAATCTGGGACTCAAGTAAACCACACAAAACGATATTAGTAATGCAAAACAACAAAGATTAATCAAACCAAGACAAGACAAACAGTTGAATCCCAGGTTTCAGGAACCAAAGTGGTAGTGCTGTATATATGTGTGTGTGTGTGTGTGTGTGTGTGTGTGCCATCGTATTCTTTTTAGATGTAAAGTGCTAGGTGCATGTGCTGAGAATCGGCGAACTCCAAGATCAGACTTTGTGAGAGAATTTAAGATTTATGAGAGAATTTGAGAGCAGAAAACCGCAGCAGCAGCAGCGTAATCTGCCACAGAGAAATACACTGATTACCACACATGCCACCAAATGCCACCACCCCCAAACATACACCACCCAGAGCCTCTACCTGGATTCTCAAATGGGCTTACTTTACATGGGGCCGGGAGCACATTAGGAGCAGCCGCCATCACCACTGCCTGCTCCAGACAAACAAGTTCTAAGAGAAACACTGAAAGAACAACTCCGGGACTTACACGCACCGTGTTCACAAGCCACCGAAAGCCCCCACTACCACACTACGGCGTGCGCAGCCTTTTCTAATGACTAATCAGTGACGCCGGGAGCAACGCACAGTGACGCACAGCGACGCACAGGCGGATGCATTCACGGGCGCACTACTGTCAGAAAATATAATTTAAACACCCTGTTACATATGTTACGTGATTAAACAGCACGTTTCACAGAAAATGGACAGGGGCAATGTTTTAAACGTCCTATATTACACAAAATTTACTGTTGTGAGCTTTTAGTCATGTTATAATGTTACCTCAAAAACCTACCTGGAGGTGTGTTTTGTTTCTTTCACACATATTATCCCTTTGTTATTATAGTCTGTTTGTGTCTCCAAAGCTCAAAACACTCTGTTCCATCATGTGATGTCATGTAGTGGTAGTTTTCAAGTTAACAGCTTCTACTTTTAGTTCAATAGTGCTTGGCAATTCCAGGGCTGAAATTATCCAGTCGATTCTTGTGAAGGTGTATAGGGTTTAAAAACACAATAGAGCACTTCCTGTATTACCACATGACATCACAAGAAAAGAACACTGCCTAAATATGCAGGATTTGTGTGTTAAGCTTTTGTGAATTAAACAAAACGCAACTCCAGGCATGTTTGTGATAAGGAAACAACATTATAACATACAGTAGATCAGAAAATAGCGTAATATGGGCCCTTTAACAAAAGAGAATTGTGGGGTTTTGACATTTATTTCAGGTTAAAGTGCGAAATTGCAGTACATAGGGTGGACACACAAGCTTAGAAAGGTTCCTGGTATGGGATTTGTACTTCTTACTCTGCGGAGTATTAAACACAAAAT